GTTAACTCAGTTTTTATTGTTTATTTATTTTTTACAGTAAGTTCATAATAATTTCTATGAATTGACAATTGTTTTTTTTTCCTTATTATTATTTCTTTTAACAATATTTAAATATTTATTTTCTAGAAACTATTGTTATAGATCTTCTTCTCTCTCTTTACCTTATTGTCATAGATATATAATATGTTATATTAAAATACATTCTTTATAAAAAGTTGCTCTATCTACTCCTAATAATCTGCCAATTATATTATCTATAACTATAAATATTTTCAGTAAAGGTATGTATCTATAATTAATACTTGTTACTTCTTTTTGTTAAAGCAATTGTTATGTTGTTCACATTTTACCTTTTTTATTATATTGTTTGGCTATATTAATTAAGATATTTAATATCTTGTCTTCTCTTTTTTGTATTATTTATAATATTACTTTAGATTTATTCATATCTATAGTGATAATATTATAGATGTAGAATAAGTATTCTATTTTGTTATGTAATAACTGTTGAGATTTCTTTAATGACAAGTATTCAGTGATAATATAGTACATAAGCTTAATATAAAACTGGATTTACTATTATAAATAGAGCTAAAAAATAGTGAAAAAGAAAGCTGGATAAATAAGATCTAAGAAGTATTAGAAAAACAAAAAAGCAAAGTAGCTTACAACAAGTTGGCAATGAAGAAATTTGTTTTAACTAAAACATGACACTATAAATAAAGTTCAAATTTATCAAATATAGAAGATTTGTACAACTAATGGTACTTTAAAAAAAGCCATGGCTATCAAGAATATCAATAGCTTACAGATCTTAAGTACAACCATTGATAAACCTAATAGAGTATATGAGTTTAATCATTAAATAGAAAACTATTGCATTCAGTATAACATCTCCAATATTTCTTGAACATTATTAAAACATAATATTTAAAATGCAATGGAAGATTTCAAGCTAGTATATCAAAAGCTAAAAGAAAAAAAAAATAAGAAATAAAATCAAATCAGCCCTTGAACAAAGATATGAAAACCTGTGAATCAATCAAAAATAAATAATAAACTCTTTAATGGATAGAAAAAAAATAAAAATAGTGTTGAATAAGATTAAAATCAAGAAAGATAAATTTGAATATATGATGCAAATCAAGATGATTAATGCTTTTCATTGGGTTATATTAAAATCATGATGATCAATGATTTTTATTGGGTTACATTAAAAATTATGATGATCAATGATTTTCATTGAGTTATATTAAAAATCAAGATGATCAATAATTTTCATTGGGTTACATTAAAAATCAAGATTTCTATAACACAGAATAGTTTATACAAAGATTGTAATTAGGTCTCTATCTAAAATTGAATAGAATTATCCTTGATAGGACCATATTACTACCTGCTGGTAACAAAAAAAGTAGATCTCTAAACCAATTGCATACTACTGAGAAAGAACTAACTGAAGATCTTATTCAATTTCAAGACTTCAAGCCTATGTTTATGCTTTGACCTAAGACTTAACAATTAGGAGGTCTTGATAGGAGGAGAAATTTGTGAATCACTTCAAAGGATCAAAAATCAGATCTAGAATAAAGAAAATTCGATGGCCTAATAATCAAACTACTCTTAATAAAATTGGGTTAAGAAAAATTAAGAAGAAATCACATGGTTTTCTGATGAGGTAATGTTTATACATAGTTAATAATATATAAATAACTACTCATATATATATATTAGATTATTAATATAAGTAAATATACAAGTACTTGTTAGTATATACATATCTATTTTGTATAAAAGGAGTAATGTAAATAGTTGAGTCAAGGCAGTTGCCTTATATAAATGCATTGATCTATTACTAATAAAAATCATGGCAATAAATTCATAACTCAATGAATTATAGATATAATAGACAATTTTAGATTCTTAAAATTTATTTTAGCACTAGTCTAGTCTTGATAGGTTAGCTTCTACTAAAGGAATGACAACAAGTCACAAGATGAGTTTATCTTAAAAGAGGATATTTCTATTGAGTTTTGTTTGATGGTAGACTGATAGTATATCTTAGAAAGCTTCTATGTAATAATACGGTATAAATACAAATAAAACAAGGTTGAACCAGTATTAAAAAAAAAAAATAAGACAACAAATTATTAATAGATGCAATAATATAGAATTTAGGGAAAATAGAATTAGCAAATATAGAATCAGTATAAATATATATAGAATCTTATATAGGATAAAATGAAGTATAGATATATATAGGATACTTTCTTTAAAGACTTTCATAAAAAAAGTTTTTTTATGAAATTAATAAATGATGAGTTATTCAAAGCTAGCAATAAGAAAATCAGATTTTTACAAACAAGTAATATATATAGTATAGAGTACAACAAAGATACAGAAATAGTGAACCATTTATTAAAATGCCTAATATATAAAAAGCAATTGTAAGAAACATATGTGAAAAAATTAGAAGAGATATTAAAGAAATTTAAGAAATTTTTTCAAGAAAAAAAAGATATACAACTAATTATAAATAATAAAGAGAAGAGGAGAAAACTAGACAAGCTAATCTTTAAACTTATAGAAGAAGTTTTCAAAAGTAATTATAGAACACTAAGATTTTATATAGAATTCATAAGAAAGGATTAGCTTATTACATTAATTGACCTCAAATATTGTAGTAAAAGAATATGACAGAAAATTTGTAGATAGATTACAAAAATATAGAAGAAGATTTGTAATCACATTTGAAAGAAGATCTAGAATAAAAGATATATAAAAGTAATTGAATATTAATAGTTATAGAGAATTAATAGAAAGAATAAAATAAAAAGACCAGGCTTGAAAGTCTAAAAGATCAAGATTAAAATCAAGAAACCATTAATTCTTAAAGAAAAAAAATTGAATGACAAGAATCTGAAGTATATCTTGATAAAAAAAATTGAATATGAAATGAACTGATTGAGTTTTGATCTTTATTGGAGCTTCACAAAGTGATTTGCAGTAGTGACCTGTAAACAATGATACTAATAGTTGGAAGAATATTCACCTGAACTGATAATGGAGTAATAAATCACTTTTAAAGTTGTACTTTTAGTAACAATAGTCAAGACAAGTGAGTTAATTAGATTTAGCTTTAACATCACATTGATATGTAAAATCTAAAAATGTTTAATAAAGTATACATAACTAGCTTGATAGAGAGAAAAAAAATTAAAAAAAAAATTTCAAAGATATTCTTTTTTAATCAAGTAAATTTCTTTAAAAAAAAGTATATAATAGATAAAACTAATAGTTAACTTCTATTTCTTATAAATTTTTTAAATAATAAAACAATTTTATTGAATTAAAATTGAAATTTTTAGATTTTTATTCTAATTAAACAAAGTTTTGAAAGTGACTTTTTTTATTTTACTCAAGTAAACATTTTTATAATATAATATTGATATCAATATGTATTAGTAAAAATATAAGTTTTACAAATAGTTTTTTAAATTTTTTCATTTAAGAATAATCAAGTTTATTAAATATCATAAAACTAAAAAATATTTTAATTAAACAAATATTTTTGAGAAAAAATTGTTAAATATATTAAAAACTTTTTAAAAGTTTTAAATTATTTTTTTTTTATCTTCTTCAATATATATTAAGAATTTATTATTTTTTGAAATAATCAACAATAATAAACCATTAGTAATAATCCTAATAGCTAAAAATCAAAGATAAAAATATTAGATAACATAATATTGTTTTCTAAATCTGATTTAAAATATCTAATTGAGATTTAATTTAAAATATATAAAAATACTATAAGTTAGTTATTATATTAAGGTTATGGGATCAAATAAGTTTTTTGAAAAGAAGAGTGATAACACAGTATATTGTTTCTATGTTTTGAAAAGGTTTTTATTCATAATGACTTTGTTGAAGAAGTTTTTTTAAGACAAGAAAGTTAGAGCATTTGATCTGTTATGATTCTGGACTTCATTAAGGAATCTTGCTAGGGTCTGAAACATTGTTTGTGGAAAAGGAGTCCATCAGACTCCTATGTCAAAGTTTTTTATTAGGTTTTGATATACAGTATATTATATATTTATATTATATTATATTATATTATTTTTATTTTTAAAAAAAGAATTCGTCTTCACTTTATCAGAGTGCTTAAAAGGTAATGTCCTTTGTCCTTTGAAGACCATCTTAGAGTTTAATCGTAATCTCCTTATTAATTTTGAATTTGTCTGAAGTTTATTTGTACAACTTTTGGTCAACCACATTTTCGTCGTAAGCATTTGGAAAGGCCATGTTGGAGCGTGGAAATAGAAACATTAGGTAAGTTTGAGCAAAGGAATCGATACTTTAACTTCTTCACTCCTATACGAAATATACAGTACATTCCTCGGTCGTTAAAAGGAGACGCTTTTCATTATTCTATTCATGGTAAAGCAAGGCTAATTAATTCGATGCACGTACATAGCGTACGTACGCAGGCGGAACCTGCATTATTTCTTCTACGTAATTACATATTAACCTTATATAGGAACGAAGGAAGGTTTTCCTTCGCTGATGCATAATTCAGTAAATATTAAACCTGTAGCGGTTCTTTCAAAATTCGTTAAATGAATTTGTTTATTTACAAGACTGACACGTACCGTTACTGTAACATATGATCGGGGATACTGTGTCTTACTTGTATTGATATGGTACATTACTTATAAATTTTACATCTATCTACTATACCTATCACCCACTCGTAAGATACTTGGTCCACCGGTGAATCATTTATTCTTTGGAACATCAAGAACTCGGTCAAATCTGAGGTGTCTGACACCCGATTAAATATTCACCTTATCTCATACTCACGCACCTTCTTGTCCTCCAATGCTTATTCTAGCCCGGTGGAATGCAATATGAGTGGGCTCGGAAATACGGTGGTATTGTGTGCTATCATTCCCTGTTCAATCGACCATTGATGTGGTTCAAACCTATTGTATAAGATCATGGTCAGTAACACCTACGACTTTCCTAAACCACCCAGCATGATTAATGATCTTAAAGTGGTGCTCGGATATGGAATTATTATGGCGGAAGGTGATGTGCATCAGTTTTGCCAATATCAAAGTATTGCGAGAGTTGATCAGAATTTGTAACTCTTCGATTTTAACATGTCTTGTTTGATAGGAAATGACGCCAACGTTTGTTCACATTGCTCATCGCCTAAAGTCCGTTTAGACGGCTAGGGTTGGAGATGGCGAAGAGAAAATAGCGATTTCTCCTGATTTCTCAAATGTTTCCTTGGACGTTATTGGGTCGGTTGGTATGCGACCAATCGATCACTTAATCTTTTAATTATTTGCGCCCCTTCCCGTCCCGTTAACAAATATTCTTTCGATTATTTAATGAAGGCCTCGATTATTCAAGCCGCAGCTTATGATGTACTTTTTAATTCCGAACCTACACCAATAAATATCGCTCTAAAACTCTTGGTAAGCTTTATTCCTATCGTCCGAAAAATTCATCCCCAACAATCTCAGATTTCATCGAGCAATTAAAGTTGTGGAAGAACAATTAATGCAATTGGTTCAAGAGAAAAAGAAGTTTTCCACTGAAGGAAAGTTGCGGGGAAAGGATTTGATGAGTTTGTTGATTAATGCTAACGAGCATACAAAAGACGACGCCGAGATCTAGAATTGCAGTATCAGGTTGGTGTCATGAATTTTATATACATTTGTTAACGTTATTTTGTCATTCCATGTTCTTTCTCGTCTGTCACTTTCGTCTATTAATATTTATAGATTATGACATTCTTGGCTGCAGGGCACGAAACCACGGGTTCCTGCATGTCATTTTCCCTCTATATGCTCGCAAAAAATTCTCGTTGTCAAGAAAAACTTCGATAAGAGCTCATCAGCGCATTCCCTTATTCAAATTTTATGCCTTCATTTGATGACCTCAACGGATTGGAGTATTTAAATTGCGTGGTTGAGGTGTTGAGAGTTGCACCATCACGTAAGGCTTAAGTGGTTCTCCAATAACTTAAATCTAGATTCTGACAATGTTCTAAAATAATTTTCAAAAAAGTTCCAACGATAATTAGATCGCCAGAAGAGGATACAGTATTAAATGGATACACAATTCCAAAGGTACGTGATATTCATTTCTTCTATTCTATTTTCGATATCTGATGAGCTCTCTCTCTTTTTTTTTTTTCCTCAAGAACACACCGATAATAATCCCAATCTCTGCAATCCACCGATTGCCCTCGGTGTGAGGTGAAGATGCTGAGGAGTTCAAGCCTGACCGATGGCAAATGTCTTCTGATTCAGAGTCAGTCAAGACGTCGGATATAAACAATTTTACCTATCTTCCATTCATTAATGGTCCCAGATCCTGTATCGGGAACAAGCTGGCAAATAAATGAATTCAAAGTCTTCTTGCTCAGTGCTAGTAAGAAATTTCATGTATAGATAGGCTGAGGGGTTTAAGATCAGGAAAATCCGAACATAGCTTTAAGGGCATTCCCAAATATCGAATTATGGGTGTTAAAAGTGAAATGAGCAGATGGAACGTGATGGCGTTAATGAAACATGTACGAAATTGTTAAGTAGTTATTAGAGATCATATCATGTAAAACTGCGTTCATTATGAAAATACAACATTAATGATTTAATAATGCGTAGTGAATCCGATTGACGTGTATTCGGAAAAAGTTTATCGAAGAATTTTCTTGCATAACTTTTTAAACATACTGTATATAATAGTCGTAATCTAAATTACCAATATATTAAGGGTAAATTGACTCTAGGAATTCATTATATGTCGATGTCAGGTAAACTACTTTGATCGTATCATATCCAATTATTTTGTTAAAGGCGAAAGTGACACGCGACCATACGTTACACGAACGGCGGTTGTCGGCACAAATTACAGTAAGTCTCTATAGGAGGTCGGATTATATTCTCAAAAAGCGGAGATTAATGAGATAATCGATTGTGTACGCGTAATACTCGAGCTTTGATAGCACGATTTTTATTACGTGATCCACGTGTAGATGTGTTTTATGTAATATACTGTAAGAAAAATTCTCACCATCCTCTACGAAAAGCGTTCGGGTTCCGGTAAAGGCGCGCTAATAAATTTCACTCATTCCTTCTCTACCTTTCTTTTTACATTTCCCAATTCCTTATAAAAGCACGCTAGTAAACTTTTTTTACCATTCCTTATAAACGAGTTTTCATATTCCAAAAAGCATTTTAAAAATCTTTCCCTAATTGTACAAACGCGTTCAAACGTAATCCACGTGTAGATGTAGATGCATGTATCGCACATGTTTTTACAAGGCGCCAGTTCCCATGTACTATGTAAATCTGAGATCATTATCAAGAAAAATTCCCATCATTCTCTACAAAAAGCGTTTAAAAGCGCGCTAATAAACATTCCTCGTCCTTTTCTCATACCTTCTTTCCCAATTCCTTACAAAAGCACGCCAGTAAACTTTTTTTTTTCATTCCTTACAAACGTCTATTCATATTCCATTACAAAGGCGTTCTAAAAATCTTTCCCTAAATGTACAAACGCGTTCAAACGTGTTCCTTAACTCGCACGGTGAATCCATTTATTTCCAATAAACATACATGGATAGACTTCGCTCTTTGTAAACACTTGCCGTCGAACTTTTCTTTTACATGCAAGACAGATAAAAACGTAAGTATGAGATGTGCTTTTTTCTTTCTCACGGTACACGGCAAGTAATTACATACGGTAAGCGGTAAGTATTAACATACGGTAAGTAGTGACACACGGTAAGTATTAACTTGCGGTAAGTATATGGGGGAGGGGGAATGGAGGATTTCGGCATTAGGGATTGTTATTTGTATTAATTTTGCACTTCGATTTTTTATTCACAGCACACAGCGATCAAGAATTTTTCGCGCTCTCATTCTTACTTAGCATTCGTTGCTAATAAAAAGTTTTTTTTTTTTTTTTTATTTTATTTTTTAATATTTTTAGATTTACTCGGTCGAACGATAACGAAATCGATGTATTCATGAACGAAAAAATTTACGTACGAAATCTTGCCTGCCGAGTTCAAGCCCTACGTTAAACATACAATCTCGATAGAAAATCTGATTCAGATATGCGAACATAGCCAGTACTTGACCTTTGACACTTACATAGAGCGTCTTCTTTCGCGCAAACAACCCATGGTTCTCCGTTAACTCAATACCAATTGGTGACAAGAATAGCGAAACTTTCCTTCACAAGAAAATTGACATGATTGGTGATAAAACGAAAAGAAACTTCTCTCGCAACTGGAGACGATATTAAGTCATAGTCAGTTAATATTCTTGTAATTCGAGCTGAAGATCCAGAGGTATTTTTTTTTTTCCCATTTACTTACGGGAAATTCGCGCCTATTATCAGCTTCTCACGCTATTACATTTAGAAATTCAAGAAGCTATCGACACTTCGAACTAATGCGGTATTGTCCAGGAGCTATGTAAAGTGCTCAAACTTGGTTCGTCTTATGCCCTAAAGGTTGCTGACTCTTGTTTCATGCCGAAAGCGAAGTCGCGATGAATGGTTAATCGTCGGATTAAAGATAAGGAGTCTCCGGAATAGTGCTTTTAATTAAAAAAAAACGGAACCTCTATAGGTGGTAACGGGCATCGAGTATAGGGCTTGGCGACTGAAACCACGACTGCAATTATAATATATAACTGATTTTTTAAATAATAAAATTTGAAAAAATTAATAAATTATTCAAACTAAATTTCAAATATATATACAGTTTGGTACAAATAAATAATTATGTAATTTAATACAACTTTTAAAGCTTTACCAATTATTAATTATAAAATATTAATTTGAAGTAAAAGAAAACAAGTAGTTTTATTGACAAATTTTATATATAAAAAATATTAAAACTATGATAAATTTTTATAAAAAATTAATTATAAAATCAAAAAAGATTTTTAATTAATTTATTTATTTTTGATATAAAAAACCAGCATTTCATTGAGTATGCTGATATTGTTGAAAGAAAAATAAAAGAAAAATAAAAAGAACAGTCATATGCTATATTGAGAGGGTAACTGTGATGTTTTTTAGCAAATGTTTGTCCTATTTTCTAGATTCAACTCTTAATAGTGATCTGGAAAAGTTTCTACTGAGTCTTTACAGAAATAAGATAGAAATAAAGAGAAAAACTTTACAGTTTTAAGACTTGTAAGAAGAGAGTAATCAGGAAGACCCAGGTGATATATTGGTGCATGATTTGAGAGTCTCCCAATATATCATCAATTAAGCCTATTCCTATCTAAATATGGGTATACTTTATCTATCTATATAACATATTTCAGATTTAATTCCTTATAGAAGGATTGTATCTAGCCTCACTATTGGTATATTCTACTGGTGTCCGTTAATATTAACAATCAACAAAAATCTTCCAAATTATCTGATTGGCTTATATATTACTACTGATATTTTTAGACTCGAATTTTAATTGATGTAGCAATATTAACCTTTCAATTTTCCAGCTTGAGGTTTTTTGAAAATAAAATAAAACTTTTTGGTTTACTATATGTACTAGTTTTACTATTAAGTATTTCTAGTTATTTCTTGTTTTTTCCAATTTGATTTTTCTAAGCAGTAAAACCAGGAACCTACTTAATATACAATCAGAAGTAGATAGTTCTGATTTTCAAAAGATTAATCGAGCTTTTGTAACCTTTACTATGGTCGAATAGACTCTTTCTTGTATCCAAAAATATATCTATAGCATGTCTATATTCATCTGCATCACAAATATACAACTTATAATAGATTCCAGATTCTTATGGAACTAAGAAAATGCATTTAGATATATGAAATAATCAGTAAAAGTTTATTTATATTCTTTTACTGATGTAATTCTACTGGACCAATCAGCTTATAAGAAACTTTGTGCTACTTAAAATTCAAAGTCAAACTGAGATAGACAGAATTCCCTAGAAAAAACTATAAAAAAGTAATATTAGAATTCACATATTGGATAAGAGAGTAGGAAATTAACTCTCTCACTATAAAATAATTATATAGTATTTCTCAGTATATTAAATAGGTAGCAGGGCATTAGTTCTTCTTCCTTTCACAACTTTCTTACCATTGGTAGAAAAGGTATCTTCTAAACTTTTAATTACAGAAATCTGGTTTTTGTTAGAAAAGAAATATAAATAGTATAGGAAGGAAGTGTAAGTGACTTTTGAAATGCTTTTCAAGTTGATTTAAGAAGAGTAATAAAACTTTATTGTCAAGAAGTATATTGACTTTTTGTAAATGTCTTTTTTGTATGTGATTAAAGAATTAGTGCGAGTAATTTATAATAAATATAAATAATTTTTTTACAATTAAATTATCTTTTATTATATAAAATTAATTTTAAAATTTTTAATTTTTTTGTTATATTTATATAAAATTTTAAAAATAATTAACTATTTAATTTAGTTTATAATTGATAAAAAAAAATTTGCTGATAAAAAAAATTGTAAAAAAATTATTTTATTAAATTATTTATTTTTATTTAATAAATTTATTCATTAAAATAATTTCAATAAAAATTTTTTTTATTTATAATATACAATAAAAATTTGAATATTATAAAAAATCAATTTTTCATTTTTAAATTAAATATTTATTTTAAAAAATATAAATACAAATTTTTATTTATTTTGTTTATTGGCTATCAAATTATGAATAAACATTATAAATCAATATTTATTTAAAAAATTTTGTATTATATATATATATATATATATATATTAAACTAAAATTATATTATTAGGGTATAAAAAAAAAACTCTTTTCGCAAATCCCTCAAATCCTTAGAAATTTCCTTTTTAGGCAATTTACTCAAAGA